CAAAGGCTGTCCATCTTGAGTTGGTGTCTGACCTTAGTACACCTGAATTTCTGGCTGCATTTCGATGTTTCTGCGCCAGAAGATCTACCCCGAAACACATGTACAACGATCAGGGTAGAAACTTCACCGGAGCATCCAAAGAACTTAAGAAGGAATACAAAGATATCCTCGCAACGATCAATGAAGAGCTAATAAACAAGATTGACGACCTTGACATACGGTGGCATTTCAATGCGCCAGCCTACCCTTCTGCAGGTGGACTATGGGAGGCTGCCATTAAGAGCTTGAAACACCACCTTCGTCGTGTGAAAGGAGAGCAAAATCTCACGTACGAAGAGTTCATCACACTGCTTCACCAGATCGAAGCGTGTCTAAATTCTAGGCCTCTACTAGTCTTGACTGAAAGCCCAGAGGATGAATACCTAACACCGGAACATTTCTTAGTTGGAGGATCACTGATATCAAGACCACAAACAGATCCTAATCACATGAACTTGACAACAAGATGGCAGATGATTCAAGCCATGAACAAACAGTTGTGGAAGACATGGTCATCTGACTACCATAAACAGCTGCAAGTTCGTACCAAGTGGAGAACACCCACAAAAAACATCGAGATCAACGATATTATCCTAATCAAGGATGAAAACTTACCCCCTGGCAAGTGGTTAATGGGTAGGGTCATTGATGTTCACCCTGGTAAGGATGGATACGTACGGGTGGTGTCAGTCAAAACCAAAAATGGAATCATGCAGAGGCCGATCTTAAAACTATCCGTTCTACCGGTGAGAGAGGAACTCACGGAACGACATACAAGCAACGACGTTCAATCATCTACATGTGATGACGTCACAAAAACTGACTCGCAAGCAAAACAACAACGACCAAGGCGCACGACGAGAAGGCCTGTCAGAACATTCTTTACGATGGTGGTGATGCTGCTCCTATGTCTGTTCACCCCTAGCCAGTGTTCATACAACATATCAGCATTGGATAACAACCAAAACATTTATTTTGACAAAATGTATGACATAAATCTTATACGGAATGAATGGAATTTAATTGTGTACCATAATATGAGTACATACTGGTCAGCATTAAGTCACGTGAAAAGTTACGTCGGTCACTTGGAAGAGTACCTACACGGCATTACGCTTCCAGTACAATACAAGAGTATCATATATCAGCTGCAACATGAAATATCCGAAATTCAACATTACAACAAGATACTCAAGAACGGTGTTAACAGAAGACAAAAAAGAGGACTGATCAATGGTGTGGGATATGTGGCCCATTCCTTATTTGGTGTCCTGGACGAGCGTTTCGCGAAGAAATATGAGAAGGACATAGAAAAAATTTCTCTGAACGAAAATCACCTACAACTTCTGCTTCGAAACCAAACAAATGTCATAGAAGCACAGTTCAATATTCTTCAAAGAAACGAAGCCATCATGAACAAGCAGTTTGAATTGGTTCAGAAATACCTACAGAATATAACCTTCACTACCAACCGAATAGAGAAAATGAATAACGACGAGCTACATACCTTGTCAGCATCCATGTCAGCCATGATTATTATCACTAATGTTCGGCACTTGCAGGAAAGTGTTATTAACACCCTAACAGACCTTGCAAATGGTCATATGGACGCTCACTTATTGCCTCCAGAACAATTGGAAGAGCAGCTCAATATTATATACAGACACATACCAAATGACCTGACTTTGCCTGCCGATATGCACGACTTTAGGGAACTATACAAATTGATGAAGATAAGTGGTGAGCTGAGCAACTCTTATCTGATTATCGAAATTAAGATTCCTCCGGTCAACAAGGAAACTTTTGAGCTGGATAAGTCTTCCGCAGCAGAACTACAATGTGGAATTTATAACACCCTATATCGCATTCAATCTGCAAAAAGACCTGCTCCTCACGCTATCAGAATACGACATTCAAAATTGTGTCCATACACAGACAAACAGATTGTTATGCTCTATAGATAAACCGATTTATGAGTTACAAATAAAACAAGCAATTTGTAACTTGAGCATACACGATAAAATAATGTGTCATACAAAGGAGGCGCCGTGTCGCGAGCGATGGATTAAGTTACAATGCGATAACAGGTGGCTATTCTCTTGCTGTGGGAAATGCACAGTGCGCATATTTTGCATTGACACTGGAATGATAATGAAGTCACTGACCGGGAATGGCTTACTACAAATCGGTCAAGGTTGCACCACTTGAGCCAAGTTCAAGTTCAAGAGGACATACCGATCCCATCAGACACTTCCATATTGAATTCCGTCCTAAATACTACTTCAGGCTTCGAGCAATTTACATCCGAAGACCTTGGAGACGAGTGGCGTCGCATGAAGGCTCAGATTACAAACCTCAAAGAACAAGAAAGCGCACCACTCAACGTACATGACATACATCAATATTCAGTTATGTACACAATACTGGGATTGATCATAATAGCGGCATCCATTTACATCATTATACAATGTCGCAGAACCAAGAGAGCACTGAACATGACGGCAAACACTCCTGTAATCTCCATTCCTATGGCGGCAGTCACGAGCGGAGACCAGGAACCTGCGCCAAGGACGAGACCGCGATCCGTGCGACTGGACATTCCATCTCAAGTGTAGTGCAGTGATGAAATATTTAAGGAATTCGTTTATATTATTTTACGATTTTATTTTTGTACTTTGAATTGTTATCATATTATTATTATTTTTTTTACATTCTTAGTACCTTTGTGTTTTTCCCTCTTTTGGGCCGGCAGAATGTACGAGTTACCGCACATATTTTATGTAATTTTATTTCAATGACTCGTTTATTTAGGTCACGCAGAAACAATGCATTTGTTACTTGTGAAATCATGTAACTTCCGTACTTTTGCCTATACATCAATTTATAATTCTTTACAATAAATTCAGTGTTAGATCGACTTTCATTGGGTTTGTTACGTACACTAACTTTCCCTTGCATCCCATCTGCACTCATTCATCTTATATACTGTATACACCTTACATTATTAATATAATGATTACAGAAACCAACCGGTTTTGTCTCACAGCATCATCAGGGTTTGTATAATTCTAATTGGGTTAAAATATAGTTTTTATATACCTTGATGAGGCGAAACCGGTTGTTTGTTATAATAAGTACAACTGTAGCCTAGTAATTGTACAGTGACAATGTAAGAATATCCACTAGCCCACACCGACCCGTGGGTGTCGTAAGAGGGGGCAGAGGGAGACTGAAACATGAGATGGGCAGTAAGCAGCATTTTCCTAATAACACAGCATAATAATAATAACTGCGGTTGGCATGATAGGGTCCTACGCTCTTCTTCTAACAACAAAATCTGTACTCCAGTTCACTTCACCGAGTTCTATGGTAACTCCTTCACAGTTCAGGCTACACGCCTTTGGAACTCCTTGCCCGATGACATCGGAAAAGCTCCCAATAAGTAAGCTTTTAAAAAGTTGATCCGTGATCATTTATTAAAGACAACGCATTCTACATGATTCATCTATTTAATATGTATTGACAAACAGACGTATATATTCATATTCATTTGTATATACTAATTATGTATGTATTTAAATATGTATACTTGTATGTATATCCATTTATTTATATATTTGTATATACCTTGCAAGGATAGATCATATATGTATAGTTTATTTATTAGTAGTTTGTATATATTATGTAGTTAATTATCATTTGTATTGTGTTCTCTTATTCTACGTTATTGCCACACATACCTCAAATTCTCACCACTCCATGGGTTGACTGGTAGAGAATGCCTCAAGGCATTAAGTCCGCCCTTTGTATTCTTTTGTTAAGGGTGCAATAAAGAATAAAATAAATAAATAATAATAACTGCGGATGGCAATCCGCGTGCCAAGCGTGGTAAAGTTACAGCCTATATACGTCCCACTGCTGGGCACAGTCCTCCCCTCGTTTCTGAGAGGGTTTTAGGGCAGAGAAGTGAGTTTAAATGAGTTTTCCAAAACAGTGATTTACAATTATTCATAAAAATATTTAGATAAATTTTATGTTAATAAGCTGATTATTTAATTTCCATTTATATAACCGTGAACACTAATGAAACTAAAGAGGTAAAGCAAAATTTTATTTTCTGTAACGAAATGCATTTGTTTATTTTTCTCTTGGTGTTAGACTACTTACTTCCAAATATAAAATAAAATCTTATGAGAAAACAATCGTAAGTATAAATTATATTATTCTTTTCATTTCTTTGGAGACGGTTTTACGTTTTATTTAAAGTTAAATGTTTTGATCCTTTTGAGTGAATTAAGTAATGTCGCTAGCGCAAGGCTACAACCACAACGTCGTCTAAATGGTTACATTAGAATCTTCATCCCCTATTTTACCACGCCTTGGGGTGAAATGTTCTCTCCAAATTTTGATGGGACTATTCCTCCAACTATGTAAGTATCTAAAAACATTTGCAACTAACAATATGTTTTGAAACATCGTTTCTACCATAGATTAAGTATAAACTGCTGTGGTTTCTACTAATATCTAGTAATAAATAGGTTAAGATTACTCGGTGAGCTATAGAGAAGACTCTGCTCGGGGTTTTCTGCGTGATATACTTAGAAATGAGGATATCCGCAGTAGAACCAGAGTGACCGACATATCCCAACGGATTAGTAAGCTGAAGTGGAAATGGGCCGGTCATATAGTTCGAAGAAGCGACAACAGATGGGGAAAAATTTTGTCGAGTGGCAGCTTTGTACTGGTAGGCGAAGTGTAGGGCGACCCCCCACTAGATGCAGTGACGACCTGGTAAGACATGCAGGAAGTAGATGGATGCAGGTGGCTCAGGACCGTGCTTTGTGGCGTTACTTGGGCGAGGCCTATGTGAACATAGGCCTCGCTGCTGAAGCAGTGGACCTGCGAAGGAATTTAATGATGACACAGGTTTTGTTTTAAGTGTACCTTTCTTATATTTTCAGACCACATCTGCAGTCGCGCAACTTCATGGATGCCTTGTTGGCTTTCTGGCCGGGGCTGCAAGTGCTGCTCGGAGATGTGCGGCCCGCGGTCGAGACTCACGAGATGCTGTATCAGGTCATGCAGCGTCACACCTTCATCCCTGAAGCTTTCACCTCTGACTTCCAGGTGCGATACGCCAGTACCAAACTGTATTTTGGCTAAGGAGTACTCATTACTTTTCTAGTTGTTATTGTGTCTACGTTTTATACAAGAATTTTCTAGTATTATAATAGAAAACTGATAAAGATATAACTTAAAGAGACCGCAGATTTACAATTGTAAGTTGGCCGACTAAATTACAAAGTATATTAATAGGTATAGTGACATATGCTAGCACACACAACATATTGTCCAACTAAATAGAAACTAGCCGTGAGTTTGCACTGACGCGATTTTCACGAAAAAAACATGTTTTAAACACTGTTTTCCGTCAATGTATCAAAACACGTTTGCATAGTCAAAGAACATGTTGTAGTGAAATATTTTTGATCTATATATAGTTTATTGTACATTATATCTTTATAACTACAGAAACATAATGTTTGAAAACAAATTCGTAAAAATAGTCAAGTTGTAAGATAAGTTTGAATATCTGTTGAAACTTTTACACAATTTTTGTGAGTGCGAACGCCACCATCAACAAAACATGATGTGTGATATATTTTATGTGACTCGTTTCAAAACATTACGTGTTGGATGCTTTTCGGTGCAAACGTACTGTTACAGGAACAAACACAACCTAGTAATACCAGTTTCTTGACCCCACAGTCAGTAATTAATTCTTGGGGCAATGTATACGCTATTACAACAAAATCCCAGAAAATATACAAGGTCTATCTGTTACCAAACTTAAATATTAATTAAACAAAAACTGTATAAAAAGAGATTATAATATAAATGAATACATGGTTGAGTTGATAATAACCCCTGTGATGGAGGTGGTCGCTTCCAGCCGTGTTTCACATAGTAAAATTTATTTACAAAAAAGTCTGCAGATTGGTTTAGGCAGCTTGAAAATATTCACCTCGGACTCTTGGCTTTTAAATAATCTAGGAGAATCAATAACAACGATTGAAACCATTTCTACCCATTGCTTGTCGGTTCTTCAAGCTTTATGGCTAACCCATTAACATTTTAGTTTACTGATCCGTTGGATACTCTGGTTTTACTGCGGGCATTCTGTTTTCGAATTTTACCACGCAGAGATACACCGCGCATAACATTTTCCATAGCTTGCTGAGCGACCGTGAACTTCTTTACACAGCCAGTGGTAAAAGACGATATCTTCGATCATAATAATAATAATAATGTCATCCAGACCGAATTTCGGTCACGACGGCCTGCCTCAACGGAGACTAGCCATCGGCGCAGGACAGGATTATAGTGCCCAAGTGTATGCGCAAGCACAGGTGCACTCTCTATTCCCTCACTCTCGTAATCCGATGGGACGGTAAACCAACACGACCGGAGAGAGATCAGGCGCAGGACCAACGGCTTTACGTGCTTTCCGAGGCACGGGGTGTGAGACACCGCCAACTTCCTGACTCCGGGCAGCCACTAAGAATTTCTTGATAGAAAAACTCAATAATTAATTTTTTGGTGCGACCCGGGATTCGAACCCAGGACCTCATGATCAGCAGTCGCACTACTACAACCACTAGACCAACAAGACAGTCGTCTTGTCGTCTTAGATCATATGTTATAACTGGCTAAACGCACTGATTACACACTCTTGGTTTTAAGTTTTGAGGAATAAGTGACGGGAAATTGTATCGTAACCTTTCGAAATTGAGTTGGCCAAATTTTCCTACGTAAGTATCTCCAACTCCGAGTGTAATACTAATTAATTGGACACCGATCGGAGATTCTATGCGTTTGAGTTTCTATGCGTTTCACTAAGAAATGAGGATATCCGCAGTAGAATCAGAGTAACGACATAGCGTAACAGATTAGCAAGCAGAAGCTGGCAATGAGCTTGCCGTATAGCTCTAACAACCGACAGTCGATGGGGAAGAAAGGTTCTCGAGTGGCAGCCTCGTACCGGTAAGCGAAGTGTAGGGCGGCCCGGCGATCGTATCAGAATCAAGATTCCCTTCCGATTACGCACAATTATAAAGTTGTCCAACTATCGGCCAACTGCTCGTTAGCACGGTTACCCTATGCAAGCTCGCGGACTATCCAACTTTGTTGGTTAGTCGCACGGCAAGATGCAAGATGAACCGTCGCGCGCGTGTGATTTCCCCACGCTCGGGTTTTTTTTAATTTATTTATTCTTAATTGTAACATCTTAACCCGCTAGCTCAGAAAGAACAGCAGAAACTAAGGTAACAATGGGCGCACTTAATGCCTCTCGACGTTCTCTGCCAGTCAAGTAGCCTGCCGTAGTGTGGTGAGCTATTATGGCAGGTGTAAGCTTGCTTTACGATCTTTGAAAAAAATTTATATAGGTACCAATGTATGACAATTTATTCTATGTTACTGCCAAATACATCATTCAACCTAGCTACAAAATATAGGTTTCTTTGTAGCTTTCTTGTGCTTTATTGAGAGCCGTGGTAGCTCAGATGGTCAACGCTCACTGTAAATATCACAGTATGCGAGTAATGCGAGAAATTGTGACTGTAACTTTACTTTACTTTTGTGCTTTATAATTATTATTCGGTTCTGATCTCATGAATGAATAACTTTCATCCAAACACCGTAAAAACTGTTTTTTTTCATTTTGGGTAAATTAAAACATTTTTGAACTATTTGTTTTTTTTTTTGCAGTCCCTGAATTTTTCAAATCACTCTTTTTAATATAATTCTGTTTAAAACTTGTGTGGTTTTTTTTCGACTGGTGAGACAATGTCGTAGTAAAAATATTTTAATGTGGTAGTAGCTAACAAATGTAATAATTTTTGCTTTTGTCAAATTTATTATTATATATAGGATTAAAGTGTAGAATAAGAAGGTTAGTAAAAATCGGGACATTTGGCGTCCCGATCAAGGGTGAATCGGGACGTGTCACTAGACCCTTGAAAATCGGGACGCCTGGCAACACTAGCGGGGATCGAACCCGGATTGTTCGCGTTTACGGCGATATATCTGGGGGGCACGGTAGTGCCCCCGCCAAGTCAAGCAAAACAGCGGCATAAAATAATTGACAAAATAAAACGAGCTAAATTTTTTTTTTTGCATATTTAACATTACATGTATTTGGATAAAATAATTAAAATAGATATGTTTATAACCAAATACATGGAAAAAATTACATTGAAGTAGACAGTTTTGGTAATTTTACACTTTTACACTAGTACTTCACAATTTCCAAGAGTTACTCCATCAACTTCCGTTCGTATTATGATCAATTTATCCAGCTAGACTATAGTCGTTCCACACGACAAGCAAATTTAACACAACATCTTACAGAATCTCATCAGCAGTCTATCACAGGGCCACAGGATACAATACCATCTAATCTGCAACTTTCCAATCCATCTCCAGAAAGTCAAACACCGCCCCCTTCACGTGATCATGATGGTATTATTTCATACTGGTTAAACTTCTCAGAGTCGGAATCGGAACTAAATGAATTATAAAAATATAACAGATTTTTGCACTAAACTGGCTTAATTTTTTTTAAAGTCAATAAAAAATAGTTTATAGTTTTCGTCTTCTTTTTATTATTACAGCAATTAGAGCTTTTTTTTCCACATTATCACGCACACGTACCGCGATAGCAACACTGTCACGGACTAATCGATTAAGAGGGCATATGCGTTTCGCGTCGAAAACTACATGTTTTATGGTTTTTCCAAAGGCGATATGGTAACGATGTGAGGAGATTATTTGCTGAAAATTAGGGCTTTAGAGAGATGAAGTCTTTATTTAGTACATAGCAATGCAAAATCATAGTTTTAATGACGGTTTTTTAGAGCGAAGACAATCCCTTCACAGTGTTTTACGAAAATATGCATCAGAGTTATCTTTTAGGTTGAATACAACCATTATTATAAGCTAAAATACTTTATTTTAAGCGTTATTATAATGGAATATATAGTCTTTTAATGTATAGCAAAACCTAAATTACGAAAATATTTCGATTTAATATTATAAAATAATATTATAAAATTACCAAAACTGTCTACTTCAATGTAATTTTTTCCATGTATTTGGTTATAAACATATCTATTTTAATTATTTTATCCAAATACATGTAATGTTAAATATGCAAAAAAAAATTTAGCTCGTTTTATTTTGTCAATTATTTTATGCCGCTGTTTTGCTTGACTTGGCGGGGGCACTACCGTGCCCCCCAGATATATCGCCGTAAACGCGAACAATCCGGGTTCGATCCCCGCTAGTGTTGCCAGGTGTCCCGATTTTCAAGGGTCTAGTGACACGTCCCGATTCACCCTTGATCGGGACGCCAAATGTCCCGATTTTTACTAACCTTCTTATTCTACACTTTAATCCTATATATAATAATAAATTTGACAGCAAAAATTATTACATTTGTTAGCTACTACCACATTAAAATATTTTTACTACGACATTGTCTCACCAGTCGAAAAAAAACCACACAAGTTTTAAACAGAATTATATTAAAATGAGTGATTTGAAAAATTCAGGGACTGCAAAAAAAACAAATAGTTCAAAAATGTTTTAATTTACCTAAAATGAAAAAAAAATCAGTTTTTACGGTGTTTGGATGAAAAGTTATTCATTCATGAGATCAGAACCGAATAATAATTATAAAGCACAAAAGTAAAGTAAAGTTACAGTCACAATTTCTCGCATTACTCGCATACTGTGATATTTACAGTGAGCGTTGACCATCTGAGCTACCACGGCTCTCAATAAAGCACAAGAAGGCTACAAAGAAACCTATATTTTGTAGTCATTGTAGATGTCCGGATATGAAAACCAAATCCCCGATTATTTTTACCTTCCGTCCTGAAATTTTACTTGCTAGGCCTGGCAACACTAATCCCCGCCGATACTAATGAAATTGTTAGTTTGATGAATTATGTTTACATTATGAAACAGAATAAAAGTTTATCAAATGATATATATTTTATACAATACATATTTTTCAATTAGAACATATATTATAATATAGTTAATAGGGTAATAAAATGTAAAGCCGACTTCAATTTACTAAAAGAATAAAACAATTTCCACATATTAGCCTCCGATTTCTATACACTATATAAGCCATTATATGGTAATTATTTTTTTATTATTTTAGTTCCAATAATATCAAAGACAGGTATATAATCAAAGATGAAAGTGATTCTAAAGGCAACTATTATAGCCTCACGCTCGTCCTGACACGCACACAGAGATAACGTTGTAGTGTGCGTCAATATTACGCCGTTCCAAATCGATCGCGTAGATTTCGACTTGGACATATTTGAATATGCGCTCTTAAGTCTACGGCTGGCAAACAATAAAAAAAGTTGGTCGATTTAATTATAAAAGTACACAATTTAGTCGTTCGATAGTTGGCCAACTTACAGTTGTATACCTGCGGGAGCTCTAAGATATTATATTACTTCTTCACCTAATTTAAAAATAATAAATATGTGGTGTATTCAACATTTTCCTTATTTTATGCACGATAGAGCCATGCTATAGCTATATTAGTTGTAGCATATATGGGTCGGCCCGACCATGGAATGAACACGCTCTCACAGAATGCCAGCATAAAATAGAAGCTCAATGCTGCTGTGTTTCGTATCATGAATGTAGAGAACCGGAGACCCCTTTTACTGGAAGCGAGATATTCCATCTTTTTCATCTTATTTCTATCTTAGTCATCCTTATTTGAGACTAGATGTGTATGAGCCACAGCATCCACTTTCCATTTATGCACGAGTGTACGCGCGAGCACAGTTGCATTCTTTATGTCTTACTTAGTAGTTTCAGTTTTTTAACAGAAAACCCCAATTACTAATATTGGGCCGACCCGGGATTCGAACCTGTGAACCACATATCAGTAGTTGTGTTTATGATCACTAGACCAACAATAAAATATAAAGTGAACATCATGTGGACTGTTGGCTTGTTTAACAGAATATTTTGTCGTACCAGGTGCATTGGGGTCAGCATCCCCTACGGCCAGAGTTCCTCGAGTCCACGTACTTCCTCCACCGGGCCACTGGAGACGACCACTATCTCCACGTCGGCAAAACTGTGCTGAAAGCCCTCCAGCAATACACCCGCGTGCCATGTGGTTACGCAGCCGTCAACGACGTGAGAACCAGAGTCCATGAGGACCGCATGGACTCATTCGTCCTGGCGGAGACATTCAAATACTTGTACATGCTGTTCGGCGAGGACCGGGATCTGCCGGTGAAGTTGGAGGATTACGTGCTGACCACCGAGGCCCACTTCCTGCCGTTGTCGCTGGCGACCGATGGCAGGAACTCGTCGTACCTGACGTTAAAGATCGATGATGAAGACGAGGATAAATATAGGAAGTGAGTATTGTACCTTACCCGTAGACTTTATGCCCGTAGACATCTACATCTATCCTGATTACGAATCAAAATGCAGATGCGTTGTCACAAAGTTCAAAAACTTTATTAAACTATGTTTGTACAAAAAGGTTTTTTTTATAGAAGAGGGGGCAAGCGAGCACGCGGCTCACCTGATGGTAAGTGACTACCGCCGTCCATGATCAACCGCAACGCCAGGGGAATTGCAGGTGCGTTGCCGGCCCTGTAGAAAGGAGTTAGCTTTTTTCTTGAAGGTCCAGAGGTCGTATCGGTCCGGAAAAATCGCCGGTGGCAAAATATTCCATAGAGAGGTCGTACGCTGAAGAAAACTCCTTCTGGAACGTACAGTGGTGGACCACCAAGCATCCAGATGGTGTTGATGTATCGGTACGTTTGCCGCGTAGTGCGTTCACGAAATTTGGCGGCTGGAATTAGTCCGAAGAATTCCTCAGAGCACTCTCCGTGATAGGTGCGATAAAATACGCAAAGAGATGTAACATCTTTTCGCAGCGCCAGAGAATCAAGCCGATGAAAAAGCACTCGGTCGTCGACGATTCGAGCCGCTCTGCGCTTGATGCGGTCAAGTGGAAGGAGCTGGCACTGAGGAGACTCAGCCCAGAGATGGGAGCGGTATTCCATGAAAGACCGAAGCTGCGCCTTGTAAAGTTGCAGGGGGTGTGCCGGCATGAAATACTGTCCCGCTCTGCTGCGCACGCCAAGCTTTTTAGAAGCCAATTTGGCCTTCTCTTCCAAGTGACCACGAAACTACACGTCACTCGATATGTCGACGCCGAGGATTCCGATACTGGCTGAGGCAACAAGGGGAGTACCTTGAAACTGAGGAGATACGACAAAGGGGTTCTTTTTAACGGTTAACGCGGTTATTATAATATTAAGGAATTTATGGATGACAATAACCACTGGGAAGGGTGATCGCTACCAAGCTATTTCTAACTTGTCTTGTGTTGTTAATTGTAAACATGATTGTAAGCTATTATTTGAAAAATAAAATGTCTCGCTGGGTTTCTTGCTGGTTCTTCCCAGGACAGAGGTGTTTTTTGCGAACCAGTGGTAAATGAAAAAAGTGACTCAATAAGTATTGTTTACAATCTATATTGATTAAAAAAGTTTGTGTTTCACCCGTGAGGACTAAGATGGAACGCCTCGTTTCCAGTAAAAAGGGTCTCCGGTTCTCTACACTCACCATACGAAACACAGTAGCATTAAGGTACAATTTGACGCCGGTATTCTGCGAGAGCGTGGTCCTGCCCCGGTCGAGCCGACCTGGAAAGGATCACACTCTCACAGAATGGCTCTACCACATATAAAAATTTGTTAGTAAAGTGTTAAATTAATGTTTCTTTCTGAAATTTTAAATTATATTTTATATTGATTGGATTAGAAAAGTATAATGCCATCAAAAACACTGTAAAAAACAGTCTGCAACTCAGTTCTTCTAGTAAATATGATTATACCAAGTCGGTTAATTTATTTAGTCCCTACTTAAGGGTCCTTCTGTCTTAAGTTACTACGTAATTAGCTAACATAGCAAAATCTTATCGTGGCCGTATCAATATTAAAAATCTTTCATGTTTTAAATAAATAGATTGACTTGGGCCATCGACCAACTAGCGACATTTGTTGAGCGTAAAGTGCGAAGTGCTGAAGTGTTTGTACAGTAGGGCTACGATGGCTATCCGAGTACAGAACCAGAGTACGAAACCTATCCAACTGCAGAGAGGTGTAAGACAGGATGACGTAATACCTCCGAAACTCTTCACCATCGACCACTGCATTGGAAGACGTTTTCAAGCTACTGGACTGGAAAAGATACGGTATTAATATCAATGGCGAGTACATCACACACCTTCGATTTGCCGACGATATAGTCCTTATGGCAGAATCGCTGGAGGGCTTAAGCACTGCTCAATGACCTCAATAGTGTCTTTCAAGGGCCTATCCATTGCATAGGTCTTAAGATGAACATGTATAACACAAGTAATATGTAATGTCCATATATGGGAGTGGGAGCACTATGTGAGTTGTTGAGTTTGGGAAAGAGATGTCCACTCTAAGTGAACAACCAGTGCGTGCCGTTTGGGGAAGCTCAGAGTCGCTCAGCGAGCTATGGAGAGGGTTATGCTCGGAGTTTGTCTGCGTGGTAAACTTAGCAATGAGGATATCCGCAGTAGAACCAGTGTGACCGACGAAGCCCAACGGATTATTAAGCTGAAGTGGCAATGAGCCGGCCATATAGCTCGAGGAACCGTATACAAAGAATGGGGAAAATAGGTTCTCGAGTGGCAGCCTCGGACTGGCAAGCAAAGTGTGGGACGTCTCCCCACTAGATGGAGTGACAACCATTTAAGACATGCAAGTCGATGGATGCTGGTGGCTCAGGACCGTTGTGGCATTTTTTGGGGGAGGCCTGTGTTCATCAGTGGACTTTTGATGATAGCTTATAATTGTAATGATCACCTACTGTAATTTCGTTGCTTGTTGAGCAATGAGACACTATCTATCTACGGAAAGTAGTAAGCATGTATCTATTATTCTTAACAATTTCCAAAGTTTGATGGCTTTGTTACGCAGTGGTTTAGCAATGAGTTACAATGTTAGGGGCCACGGGTGTAAATCCTGCAAGTAACAAATATTTGTATGGCTTACAAGTAATTGTTCCGGGTTTGGATATTTGTTCTTGTGCAATTTATGTACGTAAGCGCCTCCACGATACAGGAGAAAATCCTAGTGTGGGGGTAATGTTTTTTTTAAATTTAATTTTAGTTTAAAGAGCCTGTTTTAAGAAAGAAGTAACATGGTAAATATGCGCAGTTTTAGAAACAGAAACAGAAACTTTTTTATTCAATGTAGATTATAACAATATTTTTGAAAGTCACTTTTTTCATTTACCACTGGTTAGAAATAAACACCTCTGTCCTGAGAAGAACCAACAAGAAACCCGGCTTATTTTTTTTTTTCAAATAATAGCTTACAATCATATTTACAATTAACAACACAAAACAAATCAGAAATAGCTTGGTAGCGATCACCCTTCCCAGGGGTTATTATCATCCATAAATTCCTTAATATTATAATAACCCTTTTTATACAAACTTAGTTTAATAACAATTTTGAACTTTGTGTATGACAAATTTTGTATATTTTCTGGAATTTTGTTGTAAAAGCGTATACATCGCCCCAAGAATGAATTATTGACTCGGTGGAGTCGAGTAACTATAGAGAATAATCAATGAAGCATAGAAGCACAGTAGTACTATTTTATTTATTCTGAGATCGTATTAAAATAGCAACAGAATGCATTGGCTCATACTATTTTTACTAGTGAAGTTGGCAGGGTATTGATAAGAGGTAGATATGTCACTTTTCTTTCGTAATTTTGAAGGTTATCACAAACATTGTATAAAGCCTGGCGTCGACTACACTAGAAATGCGTCGAATCGAAGCGAGTCGCATTTATTCCATCTCTGAAGAATCGAATCTAATCGTTAATTCATCGTAAACTTTTCATCAAATTAGGTCGTTTTTGCGTCATGGCCATGAAGAGATGTTTTTATTTCAAATACATTTGATGAAGCAGAGGAGACTAGAAAAAGGAAACGACGTGCTCCCAAATACTGCATACACGACATTTATATGAAAAGAAATAACTATGGCGAATTTCTATTATTTATATTCATTATTTCATTATTTGAAAAGGGATCCTGTTAATTTTTTTCAATACTTTTGTTTATTCTATGAAAAAGTTCTTAATTAAAAAAAAACAAAAAAAAAATAATAATATAGCTAGGCGCGGAATTGAATTCCGCGTCTCAGTCGAATCGAATCTCATCGGCAAAGAAATTCGGCTGTCAAGCAATTCGCGCGGTCGATTCAATTCGGCGCGCCGCGGCTCGCCGCTAATGGACGCAGTTTCATAGTAAATATATAGGAGGCGATTTTCTGCGATTCGATTCGACTCGGCTCGGCGAGCCTAATGGACGCGGGCCTTTATATCACCCTTATTCTATACGTTATAGAACGGCAGGCTTTATGGGGAGATTGAGGTAATTGACGTTTCGATGTCATAGTTAACTCTGAGTATGTTGAGCTTTCTAATTATTAGTTTTGATTCAATTTTAATGACATTACTGTGTCTTGCAGTGGTATGCTAGGGTTTAATTTTATTAATAACAAGATTCCAAGAAGATCTGGAGGCAGGTCTCCTTCTCTAGGCTGTTTTTTTTAAATTTCGCTGGTAGCAACTTTCGCTGTTTGGGTAAAGATGTATTTACCATGTAAGCGTTCGAATCTCATCCGTAATTTGTGTTGTATTGAGCTTTGTAGATGCGCGTGTTTAGAACTTTCACTGTTTATGCAAAGTCGTAACTTGAAACTCGACAGCAAGTTGTTGATGTGAGGGTCTGTGTTTATCTGGTAATTTATGATATCTGCTAATATATATATATATATATAAGATGTATGTTCACAAAAATAAAGGTAGTTTTTGTAAAAAAAAAGTGACATACACTCTGTAAACACTAGGAACAAACACAAGCTGGTGCTACCAGTTTCTCGACTCCACAGAGTCACTAATTCATTCTTGAGGCAATGTATACGCTATTAATTAACAAAGTCGCAGAAAATATACAAGGTCTCTCTATTATCAAGTTTAAATATTTAATTAAACAAAAACTGCATAAAAAGGGTTATTATGACATAAGTGGTGGTTTTTTTTTATAGAAGAAGGGGCAAACGAGCATCCGGTTCACCTGATGTTAAGTGACTACCGCCGCCCATAATCAACCACAACACCAGGAGAATTGCGGGTGCGTTGCCGGCCCTTTAGAAAGGAGTAAGCTCTTTTCTTGAATCTTGGACCGCCAAGCATCCAGATGGTGTGGATGGTATCGGGACGTTTGACGTGTAGTGCGTTCACGAAATTTGGCGGCTGGGATTAATCCGAACAATTCCTCAGAGCACTCCCCGTGATAGATGCGATAAAATATGCAAAGAGATGCAACATCTCTTCGCAGCGCCAGTGAATCGAGCCGATCGGAAAGCGCTCGGTCGTCGACGATTCGAGCCGCTCTGCGCTGAATGCTGTCAAGTGGAAGAAGCTGGTACTGGGGAGCCCCAGCCCAGAGATGGGAACAGTATTCCATGTGCGGCCGAACCTGCGCCTTGTAAAGTTGCAGGCGGTGTGCCGGCATGAAATACTGTCCCGCTCTGCTGAGCACGCCAAGCTTTTTAGAGGCCAATTTGGCCTTCTCTTCCAAGTGACCACGAAACTGCACGTCACTTGATATGTCGACGCCGAGGATTCCGATACTGATTGAGGCAACAAGGGGAGTGCCTTGAAACTGAGGAGTACGACAAAGGGGTTCTTTTTAGCGGTTTACGCGCAAACTTGTGTCTTCTGGGGGTTAAACTGGACTAGATTTAGTCACCCCCAATCCGAGACTCTGTCCAGCAGAGACTCGACTTTAGACACAAGTTTGTCCCGGCACTCGGAGACGTTTTCCCGAGAAATATTGGCTCGGCCGGTGTAAAGAGCATCACCAGTGCTGTCATCTGCATAGCAATGTTAGGGTACGGTTGGTTGGACGAATGTCGGTTACGGGTATGCAACATGTCATTGATATGCAGAAGAAACAGCGTTGGCGATAGCACGCAGCCCTGTGGAACACCAGCATTAATAGGCTTGCAATCGGAGCTTGCACCGTCTACAACGACCTTGATGCTCCGATCTGCAAGAAAGATGGTGATCCAATCGCACAATTTCTCGGGAAGCCCATAGGAAGGGAGCTTCGAAAGAAGCGCTTTGTGCCAAACCCGATCGAAGGCCTTCGCAATGTCCAAACTAACGGCCAATGCCTCCCCCTTGAACTCTACTGCCTCCGCCCATCTGTGAGTTAGGTAGACCAGAAGATCACCAGCTGACCGACCACGGCGAAAACCGTATTGGCGGTCACTAATCAGCTGGTGATCTTCAAGGTACCTCATGAGCTGGCAGTTTACTATGGACTCCATTGTTTTGGAGAACAAGGAGGTGATGGCGATTGGCCGGTAGTTGGGACGGGTCAGAGCGGTCGCCTTTTTTTAGGGATCGGGTGAACGTAAGCCGTCTTCCATGATTTTGGGACTACGCCTAGGGAGTAGGAATACCGGAAAAGACGCGTTAAAACCGGTGCCAACTCTGGAGCACACGTCCTCAGCACAATTGGGGGGATTCCGTCAGGCCCACTCGACTTGTGGATGTCCAGGGAGAGGAGTGCTTTGCGAACCGAGCGCTGTGTGAAGTGCACTTCCGGCATGGAGCACTCACACCGCGGGATGGTCGGCGGAGTACTCCCCCCGTTATCGAGAGTCGAGTTAGACGCAAAGAAAGAGCCTAGAAGATCGGCTTTCTCCTTTGCGGTATGGGCCAGTGAGTCGTCCTCCCTGTGCAGAGATGGAAGAGATGGCTGACAGAAATTCCCCTGGACAGCCTTGGCGAGCGACCAGAATGCACGGGTTCCAGAAGGAAGGCGAACTAGTTTCTCGCCAATTCTGCCTATGTGCTCTGACTTTGCCTTGGCAATGACTCTTTTGGAGGACCTAGAGGCGGAATTATACTTCTTTTTTAGAGCGCTGGTGTTTACATCCCGGGACGCTGATGCATCAGCCCAGGCTTGGTAGCACTCCTGCTTATAACACGATGCTATTTTACAGGAACGACCAAACCATGGCTGAGACTTGCCTCCAATGGGCACCACAGAGGAAGGAATAAAAAGTTCCATACCCTGAAGTACCACATCAGCAACAGAATCCGCAACAACGTTGGGATCGTCCGGCGAGAAAGGCAAACCCACCCCCAAGGGTAGGATGCAAAGAAAAACCGCATCCTATCCCAATCGGCTGACCTATAGTGCCAAACACGGCGGCAGCCTGCAGAATGCAACCGCGATTTCAGCGTGAGTGGCACCACACTCCGGACCAGACAATGGTCCGAGGAGCCTAAAGGGGCGTCGACGGAAATCTGATATCCGTCCGGGTGAGAGGTCAGCAGAAGGTCCAACAGGGAAGGTGCATGATCCTCCACATCTGGAATCCGCGTAGGCGAAGTAACCAGTTGTGTCAGACCATATGCCAAGGCAAAATCATGAACAGATCTCCCCGCATGATCGGTTAAACGTGAACCAAGTCATTCGGCGTGATGGGCGTTAAAGTCGCCGAGGATCACGATCTCTGCGGAGGGGATCTGCTGTAGCAACGAATCTGCAACCATTTGGACGTGGTCGAATAGTCGGTCTGTTTCGGCATTACCGCTATGGGACCTATAGAGGCATCCGTAGACGCGCGGATGGTCGTCGCTGTCTACGCGTAGCCAAAGGATGGACAGGTCCGAACCTTCAAGTCTGCCGAGGCGTCGAGAGCAGATGTCCTCTCTGACGTAAACGCAAACTCCAGCCCGAGGCACAAAGGAGTGTTCCAGTTTGTACCCCGGGTAGGAGAGATACGAGACATCAGTCGGAGAGGACACCTGCGTCTCGGTCAGAAAGAGCAGAGCCGGCCTCGCCGTCTCGAGATGGTAGTGGACGGCGTTTAGGTTAGAGTGAAGTCCCCTGATATTGCAGAAATTCACGGACAGCGTGGCAGGGGTTGCCTTGGTCTTGTTGCTCCGTTTGCCCCGAGTAGTTGTAGTCTTGAGCGGAATTTTGCCCCCCCTCCCCCCCAGAATACGCGGGGCAGCCTGAGAACCCACGCTCAGAAGTGGAGAAACATGGTCGTGGATGCTCAGCGAGGGATTCTCCGGGGGTGCTGGTACCCTCCTGGGGTAGTCGATCATTATTTATTTCCGTTACCATGTTGATGGGGGGGGGGGGTTTGGGCCCCCCCCATTTGGATTTGGGTGGTAATGTATGGTTGATAATAACCCCTGGGAATGAGGTGGTCGCTTCCAAGCTGTTTCTAAAATAAATTTTATAAATATTTTGTAACCCATGACATTGTAAAATTTATTTTAAAAAAAAGTCCCGCTGGGTTTCTTGCTGGTTCTTCCCGGGACAGAGGTATTTTTTCGAACCAGTGGTGACGTAAAATAATGACATTCAATAGGAATTACTTGTAATCTATATTGAATAAAAAATTGTTCTATTCTATTCTATCCTAGTCTTTACCAGATTGGGTAGAGGCGACGGTCTTCGAAACTAGTCTCGTGCGTTGCATTGCGTGTTGTGGATGAGTGCATGTATGACTCGTCGTTCGCTTGAAGAGATGTGAAACTGGTCCGTACGTTGTGCAGAACGTGTCCGAGTACGTGGTCGCTGGTGGCGTCTCGGCTGCGACGCCCGCTCCGGCGGCTGCTGGGCGCGGCGGCCCGGCCCCCCGCGCGCCCGCGCCCCCTCACCGACCCGCGGCAGCTGCTCGCCCTCGCGGACATGGGTATCTCCGTGCTCACGCTGCCCGACGGCCGGGTCCAGCTCCTCTACACCACATCCACGGTACGTATAGCTAAATCACTCGTTTATTGCGGTACCCATTTGAATCCAGATTTATTTAAATGACTCTTTAAATTCATTGTGATTTGAAATTCGATGAAACAAAAAAGAGATTCAAAATAATGAGATAGAATATAGTATTCAGTTTTTATTATAAATTTATTTATATTTTAATAATATAAAAATTATACAAAAAAATATTATAATATCAAAGAATACAAAAATATTATAATATCAAAGAATACAAAAATATTATAATATCAAAGAATACAAAAATGAGAATAACCCCTGAGAATGAGATGATTGGCAACCATATTGCTGCTCCTATTGAAATTAATTTGAAAATTGAACCAACAAAATTATTGTAAATTGAAATATTTGAAAAAAAAAGTCCCGCTGCATTTCTTGCTGATTCTCCCAAGAACAAACGTATTTTCCGAATCAGTAGTGAATGAAAAAAAAAACATATTTTTTTCGTTTTTACATTTGTCTTATTCTCTCGAAATTTAATTTTGTAAAGATTTCACTACCACGTGTGAACTGCACACATGTGTGTTTATAAAAAAAAGATCATAAACGAATGATCTATACACATCTAAATTTATCCTCCATTAGATTTTTTGTCTCTACTGAGAACTACTAAAATGGAATGCCTCATGTCCAATAAAAAGCTAATCATTCAAAACATTTTACGTTGCTATACTCTGAGAGCATGGCCCTTCCACGGTTACGCCGTTGATTTTACCGTTTTAACCCGGGACCTTATGATAACACCAACGGTACGTACATAGGCTGCACTAAAAGTATCGGGAATTGAATATTTCCACTGTTCCTGTCATATTAAAATCTTTTTAATTGAAAACTCCTTGGTTTTAAAAAATCGAATACCATTTATTTTATTTAAAAAAAGATTCTCGGTCTTGTCACAAGGTTTTGTCAAACTTGTTTAGTCGTTGAGAAAATGGAATTGACTCGAGAAAATTCAAGAGCGATGATTTATTATGACTTTCGAAGTGGTTTAACACAAAAACAGTGTGTTGACCGGATGATTTCTGCATTTAGTGATGAAGCCCCATCCAAAACCACAATTTATCGCTGGTTTGCTGAATTTCAACGTGGACGTGTCAAGCTCAGTGATGATCCCCGTCAAGGTCGTCCAAAAACTGCAGTCACCCAAGAAAACGTTGATGCTGTGGGTAAGCTGATTGAGGAAGATCAACACGTGACATACCGCGAAATTCAGGCAACTTAGAGTCATGAGTCAAATACAAATAATCTTGCACGAGCAATTAGGTGTAAAAAAGTTGTTTTTCCGATGAATACCGCATTCGCTCTGTGAAGAGCAAAAAGCGGCTCGAGTTACTTGGTGCGTCAGAACTCTTGAAAGATTCCACGAAAGATCCTCAAATGATGTATACAACATCGTATTAGGTGACGAATCCTGGATATACGCGTACGAACCCGAAACAAAAAACCAGTTACGAGTTTGGGTGTTCGAAAATGAGTTAAAGCCAACAAAAATTGTTCGTTCACGGAGTGTTGCAAAAAAAAAGGTGGCCACGTTTGTTTTCAAAATCGGCAATATTACGACTATTCCTCTCGAGGGACAAAGAACGGTTAATGCAGAATGGTATGCTAGCATTTGTTTGTCACAGGTCGTTTCCGTAAAGAGAACTGCAACCGCCGCATCATCCTCCATCACGACAATGCGAGTTCTCACACCGCACACAGAACAAAAAAGTTTTTAGAGCAAGAAAACATAGAATTATTAGACCATCCGCCGTACAGCCCCGACCTAAGCCCTAATGATTTCTATACTTTCCCTAAAATAACGAATAAATTGCGTGGACAGAGATTTTCATCACCTGAAGAAGCTGTGGACGCCTACAAAACGGCCATTTTGGAGGCCCCAACTTCCGAATGGAATGGTTGCTTCAATGATTGGTTCCATCGTATGGAAAAATGTGTCACATTTCGCGGAGAATACTTCGAAAAGCAATAAATACATTTTTAAATAGTAACGTTGTGTCACTTCCTTGATTCCCGAAATTTTCAGTGCCGCCCTCGTATTAACAAAAGCCTTTTAAATTGCCTCATAGCCATGCCACGCCTACATGTTCCCCGTATTTGCTATAATGTCCTCTCTTAATAAAAGTGAGTTGGTAATCAACGTCGAATTCGAAACGAATGAAAAAATGAAATAAAAAAAGAAAAAAAAAAAAAACGGACGAGCAATGCAACTTCAACATACGTGAAAAAAATACGCGACGAATTGAGAAGCTCCTCCTTTTTTGGAAGTCGGTTAAAATACACAGTATACACAGTTTTACATATTCTTTTTTTTGTTACTTCATCTTCCACACATACGTTATTCTATAAAAGTAACCAAAACTAAAGTCACGAATTGATGGGTCGCAATTCATCGGTTTTTTTATTAGCTTCAGAATTACATTTACCGATTCCCTATTTCATATCAAGTGCAAGTAACACGTAGTTTGTTAATAAAATGTGTTTTAACTTTTATGAGGTTTTATTACTATTAAAAATTTAAAAACGCTTTTATATTTTTTTTGCCCTTCAAATACAAAGGAAAAAGTACATACAGCCTATATCGATTTTATACTTTGTGGTATAGATTTATAAGTCAGAAATATAATTTATTGTTTTTTAACGTGCACTTTTTGATTTTCTAAATATTTTATAGTGCCTAGGTTTTTATAGCAATTGGTTCCCCAATTTTTTATTTTATATTGCATTTTTATTTGCAGTAATACTTTAATGGCTTAAATGCTTCCATAACTCCATAACATTTCAATAGCAAAATCTCTAATATATCACTATATAATATTCGTTTTTTTTTAATTATAACTAAGCATATTATTTACGTGGCAGAGCTATGTTGCAGCTATATTAGTAGTATAGTTGTAGCAGGAATAGGTAGCGTAAAATAGCAGCTTAACTCTGCTGCGTTTCGTATGGTGAGTGTAGAGAATCGGAGAACCTTTTTACTGGAAAGGATGCACTCCATCTTAGTTCTCACGGGTGACAACGCATCTGCATTTTGATTCGTAATCGAGGATAGATGTAGATGTGTATGAGCCGCAGCAACCACTTTGAGATGAGTTTTATTTTATGATTATCAATTTGCATAATTATACGTACAATAAGAAATACGAGAAATAACATTGCAAATATTAATATCATATATATATCATCATCATCATTACAGCCCTTCACAAGTCCACTGCTGAACATAGGCCTCCCCCAAGTAACGCCACAAAGCACGATCCTGAGCCACCTGCATCCACCGACTTCCTGCATGTCTTACCAGGTCGTCACTCCATCTAGTGGGGGGTCGCCCCACACTGCGCCTACCGGTACGAGGCTGCCACTCGAGAACCTTTCCGGTTACGTACAATTTTTTTTTTTTATATACATTGCTAAATTTTCAAATAGATTTGTATTATTTTTTCATATATACGTTCCATAAAAAAATTAAAAGCATTTAGTACATTTGTAATGGTGAAAGATGCCGTTTGATAATCGATTTTTTATTTTTTCATTGTTATTAGAAAAATGCTGCTGCCCACCTTTTGGTTTTGTTTCCCTCTGTCGGCTTGACGAGATCTGTACTTTAGTAGAACATAACTTACATATACTATAGGTTGTCTCGTAGAGGAAATTGCTACAGTAGCCGCACGAATTTATTTTTATTTTTGACCGCAGGATGATATGGTAGATATAAAGTAAAAAAGTAAAGTTACAGCCTATATACGTCCCACTGCTGGGCACAGGCCTCCCCTCATTTCTGAGAAGTTTTAGGGCAAGGAAGTGTCCGCCGCGCTGCCCCAATGCGTGTTGGCGAACTTCACATGTCTTCGAAATAATTTTTTTTTCTTATTCCTCAGACATGCAGGTTTCCTCACGATTTTTCCTTCACCGCCGAGCACGTGGTAAATTAGCGCTTCAAATTATAATAAACAATTTCATTGGTGCCGGCGGGGATCGAACCCGGGTCACTCGCGTTCTGTTATATTTACAGCGAGCGTTAACCATCTGAGCTACCACGGCTCTCTGGTAGATATGTAAGTGCATATTCCTACATTACTCTACACGATGGCGAATTTAGTTTTAACTTTTATTGTTTAGGCAAAATCAGCAAAAGACGCCGCCGAGGGCCTCACGTTCATGCGCGAGATGTCCAAGTGGAACACTCTAAGCGACATGGAGAGCGGCGTAGTGGCTGCTGGGGTGAAGGTTGACGAGCGCATTTTTACCGCCGGCCCCGCCCACTTCGGTAAGGAAATCACTGGAGACGATCGTCTCGAAGGTACCGCTGCCTTCGCCTTGCCTCTCGACGCCTGCACCGAAATCCAGAACAAGCACGAGATTGCCGGTAAATTTGCGATAGTGCAACGTGGTCAATGCACCTTTGCCCAGAAGGTCCGTAACCTTCAGACGGCCGGTGCCAATCTGGCCCTGGTTCTGGACAATGTGGCTGGATCCACACACGAGACATCCGCACTCTTCGCCATGTCCGGCGACGGGAACGACGATATCGACATCCCGGCTGTGTTCCTGTTCTCCCAGGAGGGTGCCTATCTCACCGAGCAGCTGCAAAAGAACCCAAACCTCCTCATCACGGTCGGAGATCTGAGGTCGTTGAAGCGACAGCACGAGAATAACTGCGAGGACGGGAACTGCGAAGCTGTCCTGGACTCGCCCGTGCCGGCTGATAAGGAGTCCTTCGACCATTTGAAGAGGGTGCTTAGCCAATTGGTGGCTCAGTTTGAGCTTTCCCTGTCCAGCGAGGACTCGAAGACTTGCGAGGAAAACGCTGATGTGAAAGAAACCAAAGACAACATCGTGAAGAGTGAGAGCCAAATTGAAATAGAAAAAGATCAACTTGCAGTCTGTAAGCTGGACGACGTTTAACCGGAATAATCACTTTTGTAAATAACCGCTGTTGTATAAAAATTGTACATACTTATAAATAAGACGGAACAGTTGGAGTTTACGTGCCTTGTTCAATTTTCACCGCGGCACTTTTATATGATTGAATATTCTATATAATTATATTTTACAACGTGTAACAAACAACCTGTAGTTTCCGTTAAGTACGTTATTAGAATCAGTAGACACATAGAAATAACTCTGCTTCAGAAAACTCGATCATATAATAATTAAATTATATTCAAGTAAATTTTTATTTACGAATTGTAAGTAGTTTTACCTCTGACTGAGACTGTCACGCGTCCAATGCAGAGGTGACAAAACGGCATACTATCAGCTAATAAAAAATATTTAAATTTAATAAAATGTTTTTATTGTCGACTTTGAAGTGAAATTGTTTCCATACGTTTGAATACTGTTATTATATACTGAATTAACGGGAACCATGGGGCTTTTGTTACATGTTGTATAACTGAGAGCGTGCCGCGGTTTCGGAGTTTGTTTATATTTTTATATTCGTTGTGGTTATTTTATACAATACTGTTTTATTTTACTTTATATAGTGTAAATGATTTTAATAAATATTGTACAGAATTCGGGGCTTTCGTGTTTGTTTTAAGATATAATAAACATAACTAAGTTCAACTCCGCAATGATAAGGTAATTTAAAACAGTTGGAAGAAGTTTCGCCTCAAATTAGTTACTATTTTGATGAGACATGGCAAATATCAATTAAACTTAAATTACTGATTTAATTTAAGGTTGCCATTACCAGGTATACATTTGCACATGGTCATTACTCTATGATAATTTAAAATCGTCGTAAAGTTGATTTAAGAATAAAAGTAATTTTTTTTAAACTACTTAAGAAATGGAGATATCGATAAACAGATTTTCCTCGCATTTGTAAGGCAGTCGTTAAGAATGAATCTGATAGCATGTCAGAATCCTATGAATGCTGTTGGTAATTGCAACAGTTGGACGTAATTACGCAGAAGGAAACCAATTCACAAAAGAGTGTCTTGCGATATTTAAGCTTGTGAGATTTTTAGTGTGCTACCTTTTCTGTTATAGGCTAATTGACAATCTTGTCAATAGAAAACTTTTTATAAAAAAATTTAGTTCAAGTAATTCAAGGATACAAGATTTGTAGTGATCACCTCATTCCCAGGGGTTGTTATCTTTAATAAATTCCTTAATATTATAAAAACCCTTTTTATACAATCTTTGTTTTATAAAGTTTTACCACTTGGCGGAGGATAAATTTTGTATATTTCCTGGAATTTTAAGGCAAAAGGGTATACAATTTTATATTATAAAAAAGAAACATGGAAATCTGATAAAGTTTTGAGACGCAACTAAAGGTAGCATATCCAAATTATATGAGTAATGAAAACGGTTAGGTGTAAAAATTAGTGAAAACTACCAATTGATTTTACCATAATATGAAAGTACGGATAGATTATCATTTGATATGTAATTGATAACATAAGTTGACACAACCTACGGGTTGAATCCCTTTTCCATGATTATGTTGTTCAGTTTTGATTTTACTTTTTCTTGGTACATTATTAATTTTATTTCATAAATTACAATAAATCTGTGTAGTTTATTGTTAATATATGTATTGGTTGATTATTAGACAATTTTCATTCCTTTTTTATTACTATTGTTATGTGTTTTCTAGATATTAAAACCTTCTCTAATAAGTTTCTTTTTATTTCTTTTAATAATTTTCGCTAATTTATTCACAAACCTTGGTTGGCGTAGCGTGGTTATTCAACTCTGGAGTTAAATTAACCGTCAAACACCTTTGCAATTATGCCGGCAAGAGAAATAGGCCTATAGTTTACTCTTGTCAGTCAATTCAACAGTTTTATTCTTCACAATAAGTACCACCACAGTGAGTAGAACATAGCCAAGACCTTGATGAGACATGAGAGGTTCAATGTATTGCAAGTGCTCAATACTAAGTCCATCATGTCCCGGGGACTTGCCTCCTGATATATCTCCTTTTTTATAGAAGAGAGGGCAAGCGAGCATGCGGCTCACCTGTAGTAAATGACTACCGCCGCCCATTAACAACCGCAACACTGGAATTGCAGGTGCGTTGCCAACCTTTTAGAAAAGAGTAAGCTCTTTTGAAGGTCCCTAAGTCGTATCGGTCCGGAAAAATCGCCGGTGGTAAACAATTCCACAGAGAAGTTGTACGAGGAAGAAAGCTCCTAGTAAAACGCACAGTGGTGGACCGCCAAGCATCCAGATGGTGATGGCATCGTGAGTTTTGACGCGATGTGCGTTCGTGAAATTTGGCGGCTGAAAATCCGAATAATTCCTCAGAACACTCCCCGTGGTAGGTACGATAGAAAACGCAAAGCGATGCAACAACCCTCCGCAGCGTTAGTGAGTCGAGCCGATCAGAAAGAACTCTCAAGAATACTCGGCGAAGGTTTCTCAATTACCAGGCGAGCTGGTACCCTTCTGGGGTTGTATCTCATTTGATTCCGCTGCCATGTTGATGGAGGAGGGGGGGGAAGCCCTGCGGCTGCCTGCAATCACTAGACGAAACATACCGACAGAGCCACTACTTGACGTTGGTTTTCTGTGAGGTCGTGGTACCACCCTAGTTTGAGTCAGACTCAAACCAGACTTAAGCCCCAAAACCTCCCGCGTGGCTCTACCACTGTAAAAACATAATTTGTATGCAGAATAAATAAAAAAGGCGCATCAAAACCCACGAGAAACCGCAAGATAAACTCTCAATTTTTTTTTTTGTTACATCAATATAACGCTCCGGTTCAAAAGTCCGCTGTTGGCTACATTTCAAGATGCCGTCTTTGAAATACTTAAGCGTTCTTCATATTCTTCACATCTTGCAAATAGTGATTTCTAAATATTTCCGAGTATAAAGTTATACCTGAAAGGAGCGACTTAATAAAGCATTCGTCGATGCGTTACAGGAATTTTAGGTGTGTTAAGGACAATGGTGAAGATGAGTAGTGGACTGTATATTTTAGTTGAGGAATGATAAAAACCTTTGATGTACGCAAGGGTTTTTTATACAGTATTTAATATGCCAATTTCATAACAAATATGACCGTGCATTTTCAAGAAGGTGGTAAACGTTGCACATTCTGTTTAAAACTAAAAATATAAAACTGCGATTGAAGCTTGGGCTAGAATTAATGAATATTATGCTGTAACACCACTGGTCACATGGACATAGTAAAGATACAGCCGATATACGTCCCACTGCTGGGCACAGGTCTCCCCTCATTTATGAGAGGGTTTTAGGGAAAAGAAGTATCCGCCACGCTGCACCAATGCGTGTTGGCTAACTTCACATGTCTTCGAAATATTTTTTCCTTATTCCTCAGACATACAGGTTTCCTCACGATGTTTTCCTTCACCGCCGAGTACGTGGACATATTGAAATAAAATTATTTTCATACTATAATAATTTTAAATACTTAAAAAACTCCTTTGTTTCCAATATGAGAGTTTCAAAATCAAGAAATTAAAGTCTATTGCTCTTTGATTTAATATTGTTTTACTTAAGCAATAACCACATAATTGACTTCTGAACAACCACGGAACAAGATTTCTGCTGCAACAACTTTTGCCGAGGTACAACTGAGAGCTGAAACCACTGAAAAAATTTTGAAAACTGAAATTTTTAACCGCAACTTGCATCTCCATCACTGCCGTTCAGAATGATAGTTTCATGACGAAGCAACAAAATGGGAGCCAACAAAACTAAAATCTGGTAACGCTGTATCATTCAATTGTCACTGAAAGTGAAGGTTCAAACAATTGTTGGGACTGCCTACATCCGTCTGTGAAGTCTGACACAATGAAAACTGCAATAAATTGCGTAGGACTACTATATCCGCAGGAAAACTACGTTGTTACCATGAGTAAACAGCACACCCATCAAATAGTATCTTTTTTGTATGGAGTGTAGAAGTAAGGAGTACCAACTCCCATAGTAGAATAGTTGAAAAAGTGGCCATCTGTAAGCAGTAAATAACAGTTCAAAAACTCTCCACTACAGCGCTCGAGTAGCTAACGGGGATGAAATGAATTTAGCAGTTGTCGGCGGTGTAAAGTGTGCTGCTAAACTGCTCAGTAGCTCTAAAATATTAAATAATTTTATTTAGTAAATATAACCTCGAAAAAGTCGTCTATCCCACTAATATTTTTCGGTGCGTTTCCAACTTTCGTGCGGCGCCAACTTTATTTAACGGTTTTCTATGGACACTTTTTAATACACACTCTGTACTCCTTACACTTCATACTTTCTTGGCCAATTTTAAGCATGGTGACAGCTTCGAGCGCAGTCACAGAGTAGTCAGTCTCTCGGTATTCTATATAATTCTTAAGATGTATTTCGGAAAGTGCGCGAAAGGAATACATGCTTTAATACTTTCTTCTCATTTCCACTATGGGACTACTTGGCGGTCGGCGGGTCTTTCTGTCGATATTCCACGCATTCAAAATAAAATGAAGCGGTTTGTTTAGTCTTTCGTAATGCGTTTAGCAAGGCAGTAGAATTATTCGTCGGCGTCTGTGTTTCCGTCCAATTAAGTACTATAATAATGTGGGCGTCTTCAAGATAGTAGTGAATATGCTTTTGTTACGCTTTGTGAGAATCATCCCGCGTACGTGGTATGAGGCGACAGAGGAAAATAAAACTAGATGGGCGGCGGCATCCTCTTAACAACATAACATAATAACTCAAAGTCAAAAAGAACAAAAACTGTGGCCACCTGCCAAGCGTGGCAATTGTGACAAAAATCCCCCTGCGACGCTGTGGGGGAGGCAAGGGTAATTTCAGCAGCAGTAGATTTTATTAGGCTGTAGAATAGAATAGAATTATTTTTATTCAAGCCTTTTTATTTCTTACAAACAAATGAGAGTAAGTAACAGTGAATTATCTTATTACTAAACCTAATATTTTATTTTATATAACCTATGATTAC